AAAACCATTACAAAGCTTTTAATTACAAAACGAAAACAAGACTGAGTAAAAACAGTTTTTAATAAAGCTACAGTAAAACATCCAAATTCGTATTTTATATCAAAGGGGTGTTAAGAGAAACAATGTGCTCGAGTGTCCCAATGAACTAATGATTTCAAAGGAATTGTATTTCCAAATTTGACTGCGGCTGTGATGTGACAAAGAGAAATAATGTTCGAATGTTGTCATATCCAATTGAATCAATATCTTAAATTGTAAATTACTGTTTATCAATGGGTGTTTTTTATTACCTACTAGTAAATTAAGTGTGTTATGTAGGTACTGAAATGGATGATTTATTGATGTCTTGAAGCTAACTTATTAAACGAATTAGTGTATTTATTAAAAAAAATTATTAATATAAAAAAAACGTGTGTGTGTACTTACATACGTACGTAAGAAGTTATACTTCTTTGTCGTAACAGAATAAAAATATCTAAAGATTTTATTCCGTATTCACAATTTTCTGTTTGTAAAAGCAATGCAGCTAACTTCATCATGTAGCTTTTTGGCTGTTGGTGTGCGCGTATAACTTTTTTAAAGACACGTAGAATTTTTCCTAAAATCTTAGTAATTATAAGGAAAATAAGATCGGACAAATTATAAGGAATATAAGTCATACGAATAACCCTCCTCTTAACATTGCCGCAATTGGGTAAGAATATAGATCATTAAAATTTCATTTTACGAAAGGCTTTTTACTTTTACAAGGACCATAAGTAATACATAATATCTAATAAAAAATATATCCATATAAATAAAAATCAATTGCCAAATGTAGGTATATAAGCGAACGATTTCAGAAAAGCTGTCATATTTGGCTAGTTCTTTTTTTGTTGTGTTTGTAATTGTCAGGACAAGGTTTGGGTGAAAGAAATATTTGAAAAATTGTACAGAAAAGTGAAAAATTTGGGTTTAAAAATTAAAACAGTGAGTGGACAGATTGACGTTCAGTACTTCAGTTCATCATAATAAAAATATTTAAAAAGAAATTGACAGTTTTGTCAAAATGTAACATAATTATATTTATCATACTACTCGTAATAATATAATTATAAAGAATTAAGTTTGTGAGGTTGTAGGGGGTAATCTCTGGATCTACTAAGCCGATTTAGATTAAATTTTGTAAGAATATAGTTTGAGACCTAGGAAGAACATAGAATACTTTTTATCCCAAAAATCATCCATTAAGTGGGTGAAAATGGGGATGAAAGTTTGTATTGGGAAGCAAACAAGGTACGAACCCGAGCGAAGCGAGGGTGAGTTGCAAGCATATATATAAGGTCTATTTCGATGGTTGTTTCATACTTAGTATAAAAAACCCTAAAAATAGAGTTAAAAAAACATAAATCAATATTCAATATTAAATTCAGAATCTTTTTCTTTAATATATGAGAATTTTTTTTGCTTAAAAGTAAAGAAAAAAGATCTATAAAGTAAATCTAAGAATCCTATGAAGCTGAGAGATATAGGTTTTTATTATTTTCACAATAGATGAAGTCTTCTTCAGTATGTTGAATGAATATACAATATTACAATAGCAACAAGTTTTATTTGACTAAAGCACACATGTAAGCTATTCTCATAGTTAAAGGGTAGCTTTTCTGCTTTCTAAAACGATTTAAAGTAAGAATTAATAGGAAAATAAATTGTATGCTATAATTTTGTTGAAATCTGAACCAAATAGCTTCTAAAAATAAAAAGGTAAGCCTTAATTTATCTCTTCATAAAGAATCTTTAAAACTTTTTAAATTAGACACATTTGTACTGGTAGAGGCAACTCAACTTTATTGTTATTTAACTTTTCAAATGATCAATCAATCCTATGGCTCAAGGATAACTTTGTAACAACTCAAGTTACTTGTTAGTAATATTACTACGATTTATAACAATTATTCCGGTAGACTAAAATTTGAAACCGATAAATATATCACTTATGTATGGAACTTTCAAGGAAGACTAGACGTGACTTTGTATTTTTTTTTTATTTTTCGGTTTCGTTAGTAACGCGCATTTTCATTTGTCGTTATCGTTTGGATACAATGTATTATTTATTTACTTTGCCCTATAGAGACTTAAGATTTGTAAAACGCTGAAATACGTTTTAGATTAATTAAGCAAAAGGGTTAATTAATAATTGTCAAAGTTTTAATAAGAATAAGATTTAACTTTTTTGCCATTATTTTTTAATTCTTTGGGGTTTAAATTTCAAGTTCGTCCTTAGAGCTCACCCCACGTTAAGTAAGGAATACTTAGGTAAAATATCATGCCTCTAAGCCAAACAGATTAGGCTATGAGCGTCTCCTGGCAATAAGTAAATGAATGAGTGTAACATATGTTAATAAAGTGATTACCCCCTAGCCCAGTGGTCACGCGCTTGCTTGGGAGTGAAGCGGGTTCAAACTCGCAACTCTGATATGCTCATGTGCGAAGCATTCAATATGACCATTTCTGAGAGAACCTAGCAACATTTTCGAAAGACATGTTAAGTCCACCACTTATAATGGGGCATAGATCAAAAAGAATACATGTAAATTTAAAAAAAATATACCAAAAATTCCAAAGATTAGCTAACTTTAAATACGTGAGAAATGAACGCTGCGTTATTGTATTATAAACTCGAATATTAATCATCGTGAAAGTATTACGTAGCTTGAAAGTCTGGAAAATGACATACTACATACGACTGCTGATATCTAACGAAATGGTTCATATTTACGATTTCCATACATTATTAAATTTGCATACTGTCTTGTGTCGTGCGGTATATGTATGTATGTGCAGTCAGTGTTACGCCTACATATGTATATATTCTACCCATCGGGGTTATTAGACTTATAAAACTTACATCAAAAGATCCAGTGGCATCTTGTTTGTTTGTTTGAAAAATAATTTAGCATTTTTTTACCTGTTTATGACCAAGGTTATGTACTAAACTATATAACATCACATTTTGACCTCTCAAATTAGATACATAAACATTATATAAATAAACTACAGGAGAGGAACCGCGGAGAAAAACTAGTATTTTAGGAAACCAGATAAGATCGTATTTTATAGCGGTTAGTATAAAATAGGACACTATTTTATTTGAAGATTAACAATAGTGGTAATTGAACCCGATACTCTCACTGTTCTCCATTTACTATTCTTCATATGTATTGTTTTTTTTTAAACTATATACATACTAGCAGTACCTGCGGCTTCGCTCGCGCTAAAACTACAAAAAAATCTCTAAAAGGAAACTTTCATCCTCTATTTTACCCCCTTATAGGATGAAAAATTCGAAATATGCTAAAATACGTATATATTTAATTTTATTGAAGAACATGAATACCGAGTTTTAAGTAATTCTGATCATATTTTTTTTTGGATTGTATTATAACGTGTTTCCCCGTGGGAATTAGATAATTCCCGCAATAAAAAATAGCCTATGTCACTTTCCAACCCTACAATTATCAAACCAAAAAGTCAAGCCAATCCGTCACTCCGTTCCGACGTGAAAGAAGGACAAACAAACAAACACACTTTCACATTTATAATATTAGTATGGATATAATATCTCATCTTTTTTATTTATTCCTCGCCTTCTTCGAATTTTAGATAATGCTATAAATATCAGATATTGATATGCGACTGACGTCAATTGGAGGTTGTTTTATATTCAACCATGTTTGTTCATACGTATTTAACATGTAACGCTACAAGCTTTCACGTGTAAGAAAACACAGTAAGTCTACTGTAACTGGATGACCAGCGGGGTTTGTGCGAGCAATGTAATTTGTTTGTAAAAATGAAAAGACAACATATATTAGAGTATTTATATTATATATATATATATATATATATATATATATATATATATATATTTAACACCTCTATCATGATGTATATATTCATGAAATGTACAAAAAAAATATTGATATGTATTATGTATGTATGTACGAGATGTAGAGTTGAAATATTTTTACTAAAATGTATAATACAAGTGCTCCAAAGAATGAAATTTCTCAATATGCATAAGAACGGAGAAACCCGCTCACGAGCATTCACGCGATGGTGAAACCGATGCACATCTCTCGACACTCTTAGCCGACCACGCCGGTGTTGCGCCCAAGGCACTATACCTCTTTGTGGGAGCCCATCTAGTGGGAGGTGAGTCACCGTCCGCGCGTTGGACCTGTGTCCCCACGCAAGCCTTCCAAAGGACCGGGCTTCTTCGAGTCCGTGAATTCCAAAGGTTTAGTTGTGTTATACATTTATGAAAATTTTAAGTAAAAATAATTAGTTTAAAGAAGATTGGTTTTCGGCAGTTGATAAGAATAATTTAAATTAAAATAAAAAAAATCATTTTTAAAAACAAGCTTTTATTTAAATGCTCTAAAAAAAAAGAAAATATACTTTAAATTAAATCAAACCAATCAATGTATTACATTACACAATTTATATGATTTGTCGCGAGATTTAACTATTTTATAAAAAGAACATTATTTTTTAACATTTACACTGACAGATAAACAAGACCTCGCTTGTTGCTTTTAAAAAATTCTATTTTACATATTATTTTTTTTGTAGTTGAATACGAATGTATTCTTCTCAGCAAACCGTTTCATTTGATATCCATATTATTGGGATGCATAAAAAAACATAGTCCGCCATCTTTGCGAGTCTGCCATTCAGACTTCTGACTTAGAATGACGCCACTAGCATCCATCAGCATTCATGCATTATCATCAAAACTTTACATATATGTAAAATTTCAGCTCAATCGCTTAAGGATAAGTGCTTTAAAATTCAGTAGCAAGGTTTGTCCCAAACAAACAAACATCTTAAGTTAAATAAAAACTTGCAAAATAAAAATTTTAATATGTATAGGTATATTATAAAGTTTTGTCAAAAAGTTTAAGAACATGAGGTGTGAAGTCAAATCCTAAGTATATACATAGCAACACTTATGGGATATGTATGGCGTCATTGTGCCGCGCGGAGGCGACCGCGGACCAGTCTCACTCATTCGCATCGCGGCTCTCGCAGGTAGTGCACTGCGATCGCGATCCAAAATGCTATCACCAAAGTTCCTGAACTTCCTTCTCCTGAATTTTTTCCTTTTAGCCTCCTCTGAAAAGTGTCCCCCGAAATGTCAGTGTATCCATAATTCGATCCGTTGCCTCCACCAAGACCTTCAAGCTATCCCGAAAACGCCGGACGACGCTCACACTTTGTAAGTATTCAAACTTTGTTAACGTCTATTTATAATGCGTTATAAATATGCGTGCGAAAGTAATTGCGAAAGAGTTAGCTTTGCGACCGGTCGGATTCGAGAATTCGAGGTTTTACTTTAAATTGCAGGGTCTTTGCTCGCTTATCTTTTATTAATAGTTTAGGATTTTGTCTTAATAGTCTTACATTATTTAGAAGCATTTGTAATTTAAAAAGTTATACACCGTGATAAATTATATACTGCAATAGTGACATTTAATGAAATTATTATGATAAATAGTTTATTATTATATTATTAACGGATATGATTTTAAATTATGGGTCCATAGAAGCGAATTTCAGCAATAGTTTTTTTTAATAACTATTTTTGTTAATTATAGTTTTTTATTAGGCATTGCATTGTGTACTTGTAAATCAATTTTATTTGCCAAAATTAAAAAAAAAAATGTTTCATTGTTAAGATTCTGTTCGAATTAATTTAAAGCAGAAGTTTATGTAGTTATTAGGGGAATTTACGAAGTTGTCTCACCTTACCGATATATACTACATACTGAAATATGTTAATTATTTCATTTTGTGTTTGTAAAACTGCGCCCTACAATATTACTATAATTTAAAAATAACTTTTTGAGGATTATTTGTATTATATATAAATAAAAATATACGTATTCGATTGAGCAGATCTCAAAAGTTCTTCTTCGAAAGATTTAAAATTTTGACACTTAATTGTTTTTATACAAAACTTTTTATGCTGTTTATTTTGCTTTAATTTGCCACTAGTTGACTCTACAGTGTACTGTTCTACTGAGCGCTATGATAATAGGTACACTTCGGTATATGAGTACGCAGAATACGAGAATGTATGGTTATCGCAATCCATTTTGCTGTAACTTTCTTCTCCGTTTAACCAGACTGAGCCGAACAATGCTTAGTAGAACGTTTGGTATAATGATATTAAGATATGTATGTAAATGTATACGAAAAAATTAATGAACCAAGTATTATATTTATTTTGTTAATAGGATATTTTTACTTGTAATTTGAAAGAAACTTCTAAAATAATCGTAGATGCTGAAAAAGCGGCGCTGAACTAAAAAAGCGAAAAAGAACCAAATATACTTTTTTAAGAAGTTTGAATTTTGAGAAAAGTAATTTTATTAAGTACCTAATTTGATACAAATTAAGTTTTTATTCGTTATTCAATTTTTCTTTAATTTAAATATGCGCTATACAAATAGTCAATTCGTGATGCGCTACATAAAAAATAAATCTGAAGTTTTATGTTTTTAAAACTTAGCAGGTATATAAGGAACAATAATCCGTAGAATGCCCTCGCTAAGGTTAAGGTTTAGCCAGCGTTAGCCATGTAAACTAAGACTCAATAGAACCCGTTATTGTGTTTTCCCGTGGAATAAAGATTTTCCTATAGTAGAAGCGATCACAATAGACCAGAAATGGTCGCAGTGATACATAAATAGCCGCCAAACGGAAATATAGTAGAAGAAATCCTTAATATTGAGCCGAGTAATAAATTATCACTACACAAAATTTGGTTAAAATTGGTTCACTACGTTTTGCGTAAAACTGCACACACAAACAAACAGATTTACAGACAAAAACTTTGTTTTGGGTTCTATATTCTGTACACTATACGTTACATGATTATAGTAATTGTTTTTAATAAATATTTCATGAACAGATTTTTAAATACTGTTTTTAGGGTTCCGGACCTTAAAAGGTAAAGAAAGGAACCCTTATAAGATCACTTTCTTGTCCTTCTGTGTGTCCGTGTGTCACCACCGATTATCTCAGGAACAGGTGGACATAGCAAGTTGAAATTTAGACCAGATACTGAAGTCTATAATTCCTATTAGGTGTATAAAAATCAAGCACGTTAGTCGACACAATAAAAAGATATGTGCAAATTTAGATTTTCGCGAAAACTTGTAAGCAGTAAGTGTACCCTATAATTTTTGGGTCGAAAACCTATACGGTAGTTCCCGTTGACCTAGAATCACGAAATTTGGCAAAAAGCAAGGTCTTATAACACAAATAAAGGAAAAGTTCCTAAAAATAAAAAAAGTTGAAAATTAAAGTCAAAACGATTTCCTACAAATTTGTACGGAACCCGCGATGGGCGACTCCCACTTGTTCGTAATTTTTATTATATGTATATTTCAGCCCCTAGCCCCCCCAACATTTTACTCTAGATCCGCGCCGGGCTGAACTATTCTTATATGGAACCCAATTTTATACAATACATAGTGTCATTATTTTCTACATACTTTTTGAATCATTTTAGTAATTTACGAGTATATTAGTCCAGTCAAAATATTTTTTTTTATAAAACGCATTTAAGAGCACTGCCGACAGAAGTGAAAACTTAAAACTATAAACAAACAGTTGTTATTTTTGGATATTCAAATTAATTGTTTGATCTTAATTTAAAATTTGTAAACTAAAACTGTTTACATTTATCAGGTTTTGATATCTATCGGCACTCTTGAGTGTTAGCGTTAACACGTTACGTTACCATGTCGATGACGACTTACATGAATTTACTCCCCATCTAAACCTGCCTTTAGAAGTTTTCACTTCAAAAACAGTGAAATCTACATAGAATAAATAATTTCCGCGGTATTGCCATTCGATAAAGAGGCAATTTCTAAGCCTTAAAGCCAAGTTTGAAGGTTCGCTCGAGGGGCACTAGCGCCACTATCGCTAAAAACGCGTTTCATTCAATATTTTCAGAACGGCTCATCCTAAGTTATAAACTATGGAATTATTTCTCTTTTAAATTAAATTTTCTATCTTATTGTTTTAATATTTTTTTTCCAAAATTAATATTTCTCAAAGTATTACGCTCAAAACTCACAAATTTTGCTACCTTCGTCGTTTTTTGCGATTATATCCCTAACCGCACTTACACGCAATTTTATCTGGTATCAAAGTTGTAGATCTTTTAATTATCTACAACCCTTATTTATTTATTTTTCTTCTACCGAATTTCCATCATCTTTAATCTTTATCTACCGAATTCTGCTCTATCAATACAATATGGCATCAGCATGTATTCAGTAATAAGAAAAATATAATAATAAAATGTCTGACGATTTATTAATGCGTAAGCTTACCTGTGTCAAGCGGTAATTTGGTAATTAAAAAAAACCGATTTAAAAAAAAAATGAGACACTAAAAAGTAAAAAATAACTGTACGAGGTCTTCATTTACTATAGATACCTAATCAGATATTTTCAAAGTCGGTGATCTATAACTAACTTTAGGCTTAGAAAATGGCCCCTTTATCAAATGGTCCCTTTATCGAATGACAATTTCGCGGTAAGTAATTGCTTTATTCTATGTAGATTGATTCAACTATTGACTGGACTATATCAAATGCCGGGAGCTGGCATGCGTATCAGAAGTTTCGAGAATTCCTAGTATCATCAATATCACGTCACATATTAAAACTATCGTTTACATTGCGATATTAGTTCATGGCAGTAAATAGTACTGATTGCCACGATTTATTTGAGTTACCCAAATATATGTTTGGGACTAAATAGAGAGCAACTTATATGTATTTTTGAGAATAGAGTAAGGGTGTAATGAGAGCTGTAGCGAAATGAGAAAATGCCACTAGTTTTAAAATAGCCAGGGCATGTTGAGATTTTTGATAAACATGAAAATAATAAATTTTGTAAAATTCGTAGTTATTTACCTCATTTTAAAGTTATTGTGTTAAGTGTATATATTTTCTAAGTAATAAATTAAATATTTTCAAAACTAACTTCTTCCGTGTATCGTAGAAGATATATCAGTATCATATAAAATTCCCGGTAGTGGCAAACAAACTCTGCGTTTTTATAATATTAGTATAGATTAATGTTGAGCATGTAATACATACTGTTCTATGAAAAAGCTTACAATTAAATAATACAATACGCGATAATGTACGCGCTATCAGACTTTTATTATTTTCGTTGAATTTCGATAGCCATGTTAGATGATTTTGCGAAATGTTTTATGCTCTATAGAGAAAAGATGTTAAATAAACATTTTTTACTTAAATTCAACCATTAAGTACGTAACAATGCAAAGTTGCTCGAGTAGATCTGTTGAATAGTGTCTAAGCGAAGTTGAAAACTATAAGCGTTTCTACATAATACATTAGATAAAATACCTTTCCAGGTTATAAAAATAACTCGTAAATGCAATTATATATTTAAATAAATTTATTTTATAATATCTATCAAAAATTTCAAACCAAAGGTTTGAAAAACTTACTATAACTCAATTAGTCATGTTAAAAATACCTAGTGTTCAGCTTAATGTACAGATAGTAACTAGGTTCTATTTTCTATATAGTAAATTTTTACATACATATTTTCCAGAGTAAATCTATACATATAATAAAATTGTAACTAAGTCGAATCTGTACATGAAATATTTTTAGGAAAATCTTATCGAAATAAAAATTATTATCGATACAGAGGCCGAATCTATAGTTTTTAAAATTTTTGGCTGTCTGTCTGTCTGTTACCGTAGCATCACAAAAAAACCACTGGAGGAATTTTGATGAAATTTGCTATGGTGATAGCTGGTTACCCGGATTAACATATAGGATACATTTTTACAACGGAAAAATGTCTCCTTTCTGAGAAAAAATGCAAGAACTGCAATGTAAGAGTATACTAATATGTAAAAAAACCTCATAATTTGGTTTTTGGTCATCTGAACGCGAGCGGAGCCGCGGGCAATTCTAGTTGACCATATAGTAGTAAATTTTTAATATTTTATTACCCAGAGTAAGTTGGCTTTTGAAAAATATTTCTAACTCTGAAAACCGTTTAGTTTTTATGGGAGGAAAAACGAAGAGATTGGAAAAAATTCGACAACGTTTTAAAAACACAAATTCTGTGCAGGACGTTTTTGTTAATTCAGGTTAAATTGAAAAACGTTTAAAATAGTATTGCTTGATAGCTATCAATTTGCTATGTA